TATGGGTTGCAAAAAACCCTGTACGTGATGGAGGGAACACAACTTTCAATTTATCCAAGATTCGACGCGACAAAAAAGATGGAAATTTTTGCTGGATGTAATTAAACAGATTGTCGTCGCCCTGCTGAGTTGGTGGTGTGGGCACCCAAGTTTGTGAACGCGATAATTCAACAACGAAGTGATGTAGGGTTTTGAAATCGTGCCACAGGTGCTTCTACTAACAGGGGTAGCAAACTTTTAACATCCTCATCTTTAATAACGAACTTCTTCTTTTGTACTTTGATCAGTAAACATGTCGATTGTTCTGTCTCTGGAGACAAAGTGTTGCACAGAGTCAAATGTCTGGCAAGAGGTTGAAAAAGTTATTGTCAGAATTACAGATGTGTCATCCTCACGTCACACAGTATAAAAGGATAAAGTAACTGTGTGTGTTATTAAATACATAATAAATATTTTGTTTTTAAATACATGTATCTAAAGGTCTTTAAGTGATGACTCATCAGTCTTCGTCGTGTCCTCTGCAGGGCGGAGTAAAGGTGCTGATAACAGGGCCATGGAGCGAGCCGTCGGGTCGGTATTCATGCGTGTTCGATCAGAGCACCGTCCCCGCCTCGCTGATCCAGCCAGGGGTGCTGCGCTGCTACTGTCCTGGTACACACAGATTTTCCTCTTCCAGCCTGACTATGCTGATTGAAATGGCGCGTGTGACCTGACAGACTCTCCCATCTCCTGTCTTTCAGCCCATGAGGCCGGCCTGGTCTGTCTGCAGGTCCTGGAGTCTGGAGGTTCGGTTTCTTCTTCGGTCCTGTTCGAGTACAGAGCAAGGAACGCCAGCTCTCTGCCCAGCTCTCAGCTCGACTGGCTCTCACTAGACGGTCAGATTTCCCTCTCTATGTCGCCACCTACACATGACAAATAATTAACGTGGAAGAATTTAGAGATCCTGATATTTCAGATTTTGTACTGCCAAAAAACAAAAAACAGATGATGCTTGATATGTTTGAATCTCAGGCATTACATGACAACCCCAACACAAGGCAGTCTGTATCAGTGAAATCAACCAATCAAAACCAAGCCTACAAAACATCGAAAAGTCAGTTCAGTCAAGTAAACTCTGCCACACAAGCGGTTCAGAGGTCAGATACACTTCTTCAAAGCTCACTCCAACCTCAGAACCAAACTTTCACTCAGTTTAGGATGTGATATCACTTATCACTTATGATCGTGAAGAACAGCCACAAACCCACAGAAACCAACACAGAAGGACAAAAAGCAAACAGAAGTCAAGTATCTGGAAGTATTCTGGTAGATTATCCACCAGGC